CCCTACTTTGAATTGAGCTACATTTTCATTCTTTCGTGTGTGTTGTTTTTTTGGGGGAGATCCGACTCTTCTGAGGTATTTCATGTCAGCGTTAACGTAGGTTAGTGACTTAGGTACTCAGTATGTACAGATGAAAATCATTGTACGCCGCACTGTAGGAACGACTCTGGTGTAGGCCGAGGACCCACTGTACATGAATGTATACATTAGGACATACACATTTGAGCCAGTGGAATTTGAAGGCCAGACGTGAGAATATATGGAAGTTCTGACTGTAAAGCTGTACCAAAATGAAATTACCTTAACAGTAACAAAAAAGTCCAAAATATTGAAGTAATAGAATAGAAAATACAAAGACAGCAAAATCCAAGAAAAGGACAACTCAACACATAGCCCACTAACCATGAACAACCATGAATGTCAAACATGCAAAAATATTTAGAAATAAATGACTTAAAACCATTGTCTCTGAGACTAAGCTAAAATAAGCTAAGATAGCTTACTAGCTCACCTAACTTTAGTTGCAGTATTTTCTGCTAGCAAACTTATCTGCTAAAGGCCTGATGACTTGGAAAGCACAGGTAAACAGTAGCAGCGAGATGCTACACCTCGGTAAAATTAAAATATTTTTACATTTTATTGTATTTCATATAGGAATTATGTAAGGTTCATTTTGGAACCTTACACATTAATATTTTGTAACAGATGCTGCAGAGTTTTTTTTTATTTATAATGGACCACTATAAAAACATATACCTTGATGTTGAGGTATTTCCTTTTGAACTATGGCTAATACCTCAAACTGACAAAGCCCTTATCCTTTCATCATATGGAAATTTAAATAGCAGGTAAATAAACCCCACCGCTTTGGTGTTTCAGTTAAAGCTCACACGGGTTTACAGGAAACATTTAATCTGGATGACTTCATATCATTTTCCCTTCAGTGGGAATGATTTCAGGGAAATGCACAGACTCAGACATATCGCTGTTGAGCAGTACATTTAATATAGCCAGCAGAAAATTATCCACTGTGATATTTCACTAGTCTACCCATAAATAATTCATTGTTTTTATGCGCCCTCATGCTGCCTTGGGGATTGGAACAGCTGAGTGTTTTCACAACGTATTTGTGTCCAATCTTCTGCGTATTGGGTGTACTCTAATCAAACCACAGTAAACACGCCTCAGATGTTTGTTGAGTCATCTGGTTATCAGCTAATCAAATGCCTTATTTGCCTTCCAGCCTCACAGGAGCTCAACTTAGCCTGGGTTGACTATTTCTCTATTAATTGGTCATCTGTTTGATTGCCGCTGCAGCACTGTGGTGTAGGTGATATGATTGAACTCCACAGGCTTTATTGCATACTTTATTGGCCTGTGGCAGCAGGAGGGAGAAGATGTGATTGTGGTTAATACATTTAAGGGATTGACCAACCAAAGAGCACCACTGTTCTGAGGATGATGCTACTCAAGCTTGGCAGAGGAGGTGTTATACTGGGATGTAGAAAATTCGTTTTTTTATGTTTTTTTTTTTTTTTAAAGGTTGGTACTCCTAAATTGTGCTCCTATCTGATGTTGGGAGATGAATCTTTTTTTGAAGTTACTGCTGTAATCTATCCATGTTGTTAAATTTTGTGCACATTCAACGGTGGGCTAGCATTGGCTGGCTGGGCTGTCAGCAGGGTATGAACTAAAACCTCCTGTGAAATTATACAGCAGTTCAAAGTTTATTTAAGTAAATCTTGTTACCAGTGATGGTTTATGTTGTTGATGTCATCATATGGATGTTTTACTTTTATTTTACCTTAAAGCTATTAAAGCTTATTTTCATTAAAACAATTTCCATATCAGCAAAAATACAAATATAAGGAGACAATATGACACTTAGTTTGCTGAACAATCAAACAGGACAAATTGTCGTACTGTATTATGTCCTTCAAAAGAAGACAAAAAAAAAAAAAAAGAACTATGGAACTAACAGACCAGATGGAAAGTCTTTTGTGGTGCTCTGTCCCATTCTGATTTACAGTCTATTGTTACAGCTTCTAAATTGTGTTTCATTCTATGCTGAGTTTGCTTTAATGATAGTTGTTGTCAGGATTGTGCAACTAAAGTGTTTTAAGGTTGAAGTAAAGGATGACCATGCAACAGCGTGTGGGCTGTTACAATCTAGGTCTGCTGACCAGCTAATAAAAAATATAAAATTGTTTCCAGAGTACATTCTGGTAGAAGACACAGATGATGACAATGATAAGTTATGTCACAGCTGATGAAGCCCGTTGTTGTCTGTGATTCAGCATTGTACAGTCTACCTTTATTACAATTGATGTCTTTGTCAGATTCATTAGATTTACGTTGTTTACTGCCATTTGTAGTGATTTCAGAAGATTGCTGATATGGCACAGGCTGCAGGAAGCCCAGAACAGATTGATTGTGCACCTTTATTTGTTCCTCATGTTGGTAGGAAACCAACCAAAGATCTCACGCACTCATCCATAGAATGTTGCTATGTTTCTGTTAAATGACTAGTATCAAAGTGCAAGTCACAGAGAGTATTTCAAACGCAGAGGCCGGAACAGCGACATGGAGCTGCCAGGGATTGGTGAGCAATCAGATAGGGCAGAATTGATGACCTGGCTCAGGATGGATTTCTTGGAGCGGCCTGCCAGACTGAGGTAATACTTTCAGGCTCTTATCAGCACTGGCATAAGCTGAGTGCTGCATCACCCACTTCCCAGCGTCAGCTTATTATGAGAGTCCATGATGTGTGATTGCTTGTACTGCCTTTGTGTGTCTCGGGGTCTGTGTGCAGTGGACACAGTTGGCAAGAAGCAGAAGAAGAGTATCAAGGCTTTCTGTCAAAGTAAAGGCCCACTTCCTCACTGTTGTCAGGAAATGTAGCAAAAAAAAAAGTGTGTTTTGCAAGGATTCCTGTGACTGGAGGTGCCACAGACAGAATGGTGCAAAGTTAGGATGCCAAAGATATGTCATCCAACCTAAAATACTGCCCTGCTCAAATATATTTAGGCTGTTCACGGTGGATGCCAGTTATATATATTGTCCTTTAACCAGATAAATTGTGATTGGAATTTAAATTTTTATATATATATATTTAAACATCTGGCCAGGATAGCAGAAAGGTAACAGTACAATGACAAATGCATTTACATGCAAAGTAACTATCTTATAATTTTACAGAAAATATAAAATAAAACAACATATAGAAGAAATACAGCAGAAACACGTACTAGGTTGGTGTTACTTACTTTTAACATAGCTTTCATAACATCTAGCTTTCCTACTCCATATTTTCTTCTTATTTTTCTATTAATTTTTTTTTCTATTTTCAAATGATAGTATCAAATTTGAAGCAGCTGAGTTCAAAACTTGACGTTTTTTTTGTTTTTTGTTTTTTACTGCATACTTCGAAAATTGATTAGATGCCAAGGTGAGTTTCAGATGTTTTCCAGAACAGGCTAGCATTAAGCATGAATGATCCATGTCTCCTTTGTTCTTTTCTTATTTTTTCTTTATTTGTCCTAATGCTTCCTAGTAGATCATTAAAAGCACCTGCATTTATCAAACACAATGATCTCTGCACCCCCGGGGTTTCTTGCCTTGATGATCGCCCTGCACTAGGACTTTTGATATCGTCAACTGATTACTGCGAGGCTTATTGTGTGCACGGAATATTTGTCCTTTAGGAGTTTTAAAGTAATTAAGTGAAATGATATTTCAAGTCACCAATTCATAAAGAGATTCATTTTGCATGCTAATCACATTTAATTTTATGCAAGTCGAATAATTGCTTTACTTTATTTCTCCCCGCAGGCCGACTGCAGAGCATCACTTCTGCAGGTTCAGGTGAATCACGCTCTGTTGCCCACGTGCTCGTCTCTGACTGTTCCTGCAGGCTGGAGAAATCAGTGCCCAAGACCTTTAGCTAAGCTGTTGGGGAGATAAAATGATGCCTGCAATGCTCTAAAGGATCAAAGAATGATTAAAGATCTCAATCTGCATTCTGCCACGGCAATTTAAGTCAGTTTATTTATTTATTCATTTTCCGCGAATAAACAACGTGGTTTCAGACGCTTGGACGCATCTCCATGGAAACAGTCCTCAATCAGCGATGATTGGTCAGCCCGTGGGAATGTTTCTGCTTCTCCAGCGTGTTGATTGGTCGATGGGCGGTCTATGCAGTCTGACACACTGCTGCGTTCCGGGTTATTGTCAGTCTCGGCAGCTCGGCAGAGGGGGAGGACTGCATCCCGCAGCTGCCCATAGCATCTGGCTTAATCATTTTGTATTTGGTCACCACACCAAAGAGGGCATCTCCGGAGGTTAGTCCACAGCCTCAGCGGGGAATCTAAAACCGAATCATCCCAGAAAAGCTGCCGACAGGGAAAAGAGGTGACGGACAGAGCGCAGCCGGATCGCTGGGGTTTCCCCCCCCCCCCCCAAAAAGCATCAGTTTAGGATATTTCAGGCAGCGACACTTCCTCTGCTTTGCTTTCTTTCAGGGTCCATCGTCACAGATTGCCTAGAAAACATTTGATCACTAACGGTTTATTGGTTTTAATCACAGAAATGCCTCTTGTATGAGCGGGCGGACCACTTTAGTCCCATGCGTAACACCCGAGGATTTTGGAATACTGCGTAGCAGCCCAGTCACTAAGCGCTCCTGTTATCAGCTGTGCTGCGTGGAAATATCAAGCAGCAGTGACGGGAGGAGAGAGACCAGGACCGCTCGTCTGTCTGGTTCTGGGGGATAAACGGTGAAAAGCCAACGCGCACTTGGTGCGCAATCCTACCGGGGGCGCTCCTGAAACTGTCGACCTGCGCTTTTGCACTGGGCAAAAATTGGCAGGCGAGTCTAGAGAGGAGAAAAAAAGGAGGCGAAACTTATTAACTTTGCATACCAGAAGCGAGAGTGTGGAATCTAATTCGCAGGGTACATTTGCATACCATTCGGAGGAGGATAAACTTAATCAGCGTCTGACATCGACGAAGCTGCAGCTGGATTTCTTTGGAGAACAGAATGTATCTATTTTAATTTGGAGCACAGAAGTGTCGGTGTGTACTACAATCTGCATGGAGTTTTAGTCTGCACCCAGGAGCAATTTATGGTAAATATATTTATATATTTCCCATCTGTAAAATAGTAAATGCTTGGTAAACGACCGTTGTTGGATATTTTTGTCACGAAAGTACCAAAAGGGCAAAAAAAATAAAAAATAAAAAATAAAAATTCCTGCAACTTGCTGCACTTTCCCAGGATTGTGCTCCACGTAACGATGTCTCAAATTTACAAGCCTTTGTTTCAATGCGTGACCCACAATAAAGGAAGTGTTGTAAAAATCGACTTGTTAGAGAGCCACTCCCGAATGGCTTCAGGAACTGCTTTGATGTGTGACGCCGGGCTTTTCAAGTATGGCTGGCAATTAAATGTGATGTTGGGAGAGACGCACCGCAGGCCCCACAGACTCGGGGAAATATCCGTGTGCGCCTCGGAAGAGTCGAGACTTGGAGCAAAAGGTGCGAATTTGTCATCCTTCAGGCCGCCGTGGGTTACTGCGCGTCTGCGGCAACTAGTGAACTTCACCTTTGATGTTAATGGTACACTATTCCGTTTTATAGCGTCACTGCTTATCGCCAGGGGCTTTTATCAAAGGACTCGTACAATTCACAGAGGATGTGTGCGTAAGGCTGTAAAATGTTGGACGGAACAGTCTCTGTGGTGGAGTAACGTCCGAGGACAATTTGTCCCCAATTTCAGACAAAAATGTTTGTGCGTAAAAAGTTCATCTTGCTTCCAGTCGGTGTGGACTCCGGACCCTGCTGTTTTTCGCGCCCCCGGTGGTTGCTTGTTCATAAATAAGCTCGCACCTTCTGCTGACTTTGCAGACAGAATGTTTGGTTATTAGACTACATGCGTCTTCCAAATTGATCTTATTTCTCTCTCTCTCTCTCTCACCCAGCTCGCAGGCTGTTCTCTGAATGTAATGGGGGTGGGGGGGATACACCAGGCGCCCCCTCAGTCGGGGCACCTGCCATACAGCCTTCCTGACTCTATTCTATTGAATAAAACATCCAGTGATGTATGAGGCTCGGGCTGCACCCGAGGGGGCAGAACTGCCTCATTTACTTCCTCCACTCTGCGCCCGTGACCCGCTGAGCAAATTGCGCTCATATTAGCTCTGCGGCTGCTCCTCGCCTAAACAAATAGTCTCTCCAGCATAATGCTTGCTTTAACTCAACATGATGGTTGGACAAGGCAGGTTGAGGACAGAATGGCAGAAAAGCTTTAATATCTAGGTCACTGAATTAGCTTTTAGGCTTTTCAGCTCTTTGTTTTGCATCTTTATGTCCTGCCTGTAGCTATTACATTTGTGTCCTGTTACTCTGGAACTTTAAGTGCTGCTGCTGCTGCTGCAGACTGGAGACACTGCGTCCTCCTCTCCTTTACCGTTGATTTTTTTCTACTCCCCTCTACTGTCAAGTGTCTAACAAAAATCCAAAGAAAAAGAAAGAAAACACCTAGAGAATAGTCTGCCACAGCCTAAACATTTCAATGCTGTGGTCTTATCTTTCACTTTGAATAAGTACAGATTACACCGTAAAAACTTAATTTAAACAGTACACTCTTTAACTTATTAATATAATCACATCAGCAGAAATTTCAGTAAACAGCAACTGTAAAACGGTAATGGTCTTCTCCTTGGTTTACCCGGCCAAGTGAACAGAAGGGACTTAAAGTGTTTTCTTTAACAGCTTAGTCCAGTTTGTTAAACATGAACTCCTTTAGAAATTGATTATTGAAGTAAAAATATCTGTGTCAGCCGCAGCTCTGACTGAGGCCACATCCTTCCTTGTTTAAATCCAAATCAAATCAGTTACCTCTAAATCATAAAGGAAGTCGAAGTTTTGCCAGTTATTTTGTCAACAACATTCTGAAGCAGTTGTAGTCACATATGTTCACGACAGTAGTTGTAGCAGTGTTGTATTTTCAAATACTGATGGTTTGGAACATGATGCACATTCACTACTGGTTTCTATCAGTGTCTCTAACATAGAGAGATTCCCTTCAGACTCTTCTCCCTGTTTTATTAATGTTGATGGATTGAAATTCTTTGCTTTACTAAACTGAGATGCGTTGGTTTGCAAAAAAAAAAAAAAAAAAAAATCATTAGTGGACTCTTCCTTTTTATACAAACTTTTCTCACCTTGTATGCATCACAAACTTTTGTCAATTAAATTAAAAGTTCTTATTTGTCCCTTTTCAGTTCAAAAATCTAGATTTTATTACATTTTGAAAAGTGTACCAACTTTTCCAGTGCTGAGACTCACACTCCGGTCATATTTAGTCTAAGTCATCAGATTTGAAGGAGTGTGGTGATGGTATTCTAGCGTCATGTTAATAGGAGTAGTTCCCCGGAAGAAGCAAATGATTTTAATAATTTGGGACTGAAATTGCATATCAACCTGATTGATTGATAGCATTTAGGCTCTTTTCTGCATTCTTAGCATATTAAGGTACCCACCTGAAATGAGTAAGGGCACCCACCTCATGAATATCTTTTAAGTCACTGAAGTTTAATTTCCTGAACTGTGTATTAATCATTTTTAATCCCTGCATGCCTTGGTTGTTTTAACACCTACCCAAACAACATTTTGTCACTTAAGTTGACTAAAATAGCTGATGTATAGTGTGTGCGTCACTAAACATCTTCCCACCTATGGAGTGTCTCAGCAGTGCCTGTCTGTTCCTGTGCTCTATATTAAAACGTGTTGTTTTTTCATTCCCTCAAATTAAATCACATGTTAAACAGATTTTCTTTTCACAGTCTGTGTTTATAGAAAGACTGAATGCAAATAACTTTTTTTTCATTATTTTTATTCCAGACAGAAATAATAAAAGACATTTCCCTTTGTGATTCACTCGATAGGCACAGAGATTCACTAAGTCTCGTAGCTTGGAAATTTCAGCCGACACAGACGTGAATGTTTTCTCTCAAAGCCATGTCAGGCTCGGCTCATTAGCGACATGATCAAAGTCCTTGATATCAGAATACATTCTTTGTGCTAACAATGTTTATATGCTGCTAGACAAGGACGGCGCGGCCTTTGTTGTACTTAGCAAAACAATCTCGCACATCATGTAGTTGACGCACGGAAACAAAGGTAAATTACCTGGAAATCATTGTACACATGCAATGGTACCAAAGCCAGTCAGTTTGAATTAAAGTGACACAGCTGTTCCATTTCTGTTGGAGTGGATGATGTGGAGGAGATTCAACAATTGATGTATTAACAGGGCCAGCAGGGATGCATCATCAGCGTTGGCACATGGCTGCACATACATTATTATTATGACAGAGCTTGCGTTTTTCCCCCTTGTTGTAAACCATATCTATTTTAGTAGTGATTGGTTGACCCTTAGTCTTGTTTATCACACTGACAATGTCAGAGGAGCGGTGCTCATTTTCCATCCGCTCTATCTTGATGTCTACGTTTTAAAGTCAAGTACAAGAACATGGATTTCAGCATGGCTCTGCAGGCATGTGTGGGCTGGTTATTAAGAAATGTTGTTTCATTAGCTGCGTAGAAAAGGAAGCTGTAAGTTGAGGTCATGTGCAAATGAACTGAAACAGGACATGTTTGTATTGTCTCTGCATCAGATGACAGTCCATCCAGTCATAAAAATATTAAACAACATCGTTCACGTTTTTAAAAAGACCTTTGTATTTTGTGTATTAAATAATTACCTGGGGGTCACACAGTGTAAGGGTGATGGACAGTTTGATACCCTGTCTGGAGGTTCATATTAAACAGTTACTTTTAACTATTCCTTCTGATCACATTTAACATTTATTTTATGTTAATATTTTTGGAAATATTTTTAATGCCAACTCTTAATCACCTAATAAACATCAATTGCCTTGTATTTCAAATCAGTAATTTATATCAAAAACACAAAATGCTACGTGGCACAAAGTAATTCTTAATCATATTTTTTCATTTAAAGTTTGTAAAATCCTGCCTTAAACAGTTTGACGTTTGTGACATTACCGAAGAACTCATTTGAAAAACTGCATTTAAATGGCATTTGAATCTTCCAAAAAAGTTTGGACTCCCTTTTATTTTGGAAATGCCCCTGTAGTGTTGTTAGCGGCTGGTGTGTTAGCATGACTCTCTGTGGTTCCACTGCCTGTTAATACACTAACCATTTTGTCTGATTTGGCTGCAGTAAAAGCTTTATCTGATCCCTGCCTTGCTCATGTGATCTGACCCAGTCTCATGTCAAAGGCTGGCAGCACTTAATTAGAGTTATCTGCAGCTACTTAGTGCATGACGGACAGCTGTGAACCTCCGACCTCCTCCCTCACGCCCTCTCTCACCCTCTGTCAGGTTGAATGGAAGTCACGTTTCACTGAGATTTGAGGTTAATGTATAGCCTTTCATTTGGAAAGGTTATGGTAGTTAGTCCATTTTTCTCTGAATGAATACTCTGGTATAGTGGTGTTCAATTTACAGTTTACTCCACAACCAACTCCAAAAAGGGAAGAGTAGACATGCTCTTTTCAAAGTGCTCTCAGAGAAGAAAGAGAATAAAGCAGATCTGACAAGCTCTCCAGCAGCGAATTTGCTCTCCTTAAAAACAATGCTGCTCTTGCCTTCCTCATGGTCACATTGATTTGTTCTGGATGACAGTGCAGGCTGCTGTGAAATCACCCCAGCGCCATTGATCTCAAGGAGAAGAGGAGGAGAAGTAGAAGGACAGGCAACCACAGTCTAGTGACAGTGGGCAACATGGGAAAATCCTCAGTGTGCCCTGCTCAACCTTAAGGAGTGATAAAAAGGAGGTGTTGGTTCTAGCAGACCGGTCTGTGCTGCACTCTTGCAGCCACCGTATGGCAGTCTAGTCGATGCTTTGATTTGTTTTGGGTGCCTGTACGTGCCGTGTGATTTGGCATTGTGCTCCTTCATGTTCATATTATCAGGTGAACTCTTTATTGCCACTGTTTTCCATGCTAGAAGCACAGCAGTTTTTATCTCCCTCAGGCCTCTGATTAATCTCCCACTCCATGCTGGTGTACTTTAATCTTGAATGGAAGATATCTGATTC